CCCCCCGAGGGCAGTGCTACTGACTGAAGTGTCTTTAGGTCATTCCCTAAGTCAAAGGGTGGACATTAACATGTTCTTATGCACAGTAGAATTGTAAATGGGCTGATTTATCACAGTCATGCTCATATACTGTGCCAGAACAACATAGGGAGAACTGCTGCTTTTTCTTTCCTCATCCTTACTATCGTCATTTTTCCTCTACTTCTTTTGTATGTTTGTCACTCTCTTGTGAACTGTCATTTTCGGGGTGCTTTGATATTTAAAGCAGAGTTTGTGCTGTTGCGGCTAGAGAGGTGAGCAGAATAAGCCTGATTCCCCGTTTGGTGAAAAATAGCCCTAGTCCGTGTCGCTGTTGTCACGTGGTTAGACTGAGATGTTTTGAAAGTCTTTATGGCTTTTCTTCTGTCTGGTGAGATCCCTTCAGAGATGGATGTGAAGTTGAAGGTCCTGCCAGTTAGATAACCTTACAGTGTTTTATGAGGAGTTCGTTCTGTACCACACAGCTAGGTAGGACAAAACTGCTCAGAGGGTTTCACCGTAGAAAGAAGGCGTAGGATGAGAAATGAGACTCGGAGAGTGATGTAGAAAGAAAACACTGTAAGGAATGATATGGGGTGAGAAATGAGACTCAAAAAGTGGTTCAAGCTGGAAACACCTAAAGGAATGAAACTGGATGAGACAGGCTGGGAGGAATGTTGTTCCCGTTGGTTTTAAATGAGAAGACTGAGCATGACATCAGTGTTTAGGATTTTCTGTAAGAACAATTCATCGTCTTTTTAGAATATAACAGTTCCATGTCTCTGCCAGTTTAGAAGAGTTTCTCTATTGTGTCTTTCCTCTCTGGTTGTGGGGACGACAAGAGATTTTCGATCTTGATGTGACATCCTTTTCTCTATCCTTAACACCTTGCCATAGTAAAAACCCTTGCCATCAAAGGCAAAGGCATTTTGGGGAAAATCCAAAGAAACTGGGTGGTAAACTTCGCCGATCTGCGAGATGTGACGGCAAAGTATTAAAAAAGTGATGGGATGCTGGTATCATGAAATCATTACTTGTAAGAATCTATGTAGAAAATGTTTATAATGAGATTTTTGTGAAATTAGTGTTTTGTTTGTGTCCCTGTTGTTGTATGCAGTTGTTTTTTCTCCTTGTCTTCTTTAGAACTGGCCCATGGAGCAGGCTGTGCCAACCTCGAAGATCCTTGTCAGTCTGGACTATCGTGTGTTCTAAACTACAACAACTTTGCACCAAAATGTCTGTGTGATCCTATTGGTAGTTCGTACTGGAATGGACTTTCCTGTCAAAGTGGTGAGTACTAAGGCACTAAGGGAATGTTTTATATGTTGGGTCGTGTAAATAGACGATGGGTGACATCTTTAGCTTGTTTATAGTGAGTCATGGCTGCCATCCCC